AAAAAAAAATGTTTGTTGGGAGGGATAAACAAAAAAATTAAAGCAATAAAAAAATTAATTTTTAATTTATAATCATAAAGTACTTTTAAAGCCATTCAACTTTTATTCGGAACATTTTTTTCTATCTCTCCTAGTTTCGACGATATTTGCATTGAAATAAAAAAACCGATTTTTTTCTAAGGGGTGTTTTACTCCTTAAAAGCGCGAAGTGGCACGAATTTGCGGTAGCTTAATTTTTGGTTTTGTCTAGAGAATAACATATCAAAAGCTGATCGAAATCGGAGGCGGACACTTGGGTCCCTTTCCTTGTGAGTAACGGTTTAGAAGATAAATGCGAAAAACTCCAAACGAGACCGCTCCAGGGAAGGTAGTTTTTCATATAAAAGGGGATGTTCCATCCACGATTAGAGTGGAAACTTTTTAATTTCTTATTTCTAACCCTTTGTTGAGTTTATTCAAAAACCAAAACTATATAAATTTTTTCTTCTAAAAAGTCCAATTTGCCTGGACTAATAATTAAGCAAGGTTTTAATGAATCTAAAAAGAAATTATTAGTTTTATTTCACAGAAATGATGAAAACTCAACAAATCTTAAGATCGTCGTTTTACTTTTCTTTCTTCTTCATTTTCAGTACTAACAGTGAATATTGAAAAAAAATGTCTCAATAATGACTTTAATATTTAAAAATAATAAATTTAGTCTAATTTTCTAAAAAATAAGTAATATAAAGAAAAGCTTGATATATATACGTTTTATATACTAATTTAGAGTTTTAAGTATTAATATATTGTTGCGCCCGTGCTTCGCGGTGTCGGCCGAGCATAAGTTGTGCCGACTGATATCATCCGTGGAAGCGGACAAGAGAGGGTTGCTCCTTTAGCAACGTGGTTGTTTGACGGGACTCCGAGAGTGAGATTGACGTACGCTGATTAACGTTTAGTGTATTTCCGAAGTTTAATAAAGTTACAGTTCTTTTGCAAACGAGTGTATTGTTCCTTTCCACGCGAGCTCGCGAATGTCACCGTCTTCGCCGCGAGCGCGAGTGCAGCAGAGAGCGCGAGCGTAACAATATTTATTATTACTAGAATTATGGACGCATGCTTCGCGCGCGCTTTTTAATATTCTTTTGTTTTTTATTATATTTGCTATTATATGGGGTGTCCCAAAACCCGCGGTTTTCCTTTTACGTGCGGATTCTTTAGAATATTCTAAGACGAAAATTCTAATACGAAAATGTTGAGACTATAATAATTTTTAAATTAGTAGCGATTAAAGTAGGCTAATCACAGGGCTGAAATTTCGCGCGCTCAGGCATGATGATACCTACCAAAACTCTTTTTTAAAAAAGAAAAGATTACGCCAAGTATATAAAAAAGTATCGTACGTTACATTCTTCCTAAACCAAAAATATTATTTTAACAAATAAAAATTGTCCAAAAACAAATATGAAATCATACAAGTTGCCAAGTATTTGATTAGACATAGAAACAAAAATTTCTTTTTAAAAACCCTTTAACCATTCAAAAGTACAAGCAGCAAAAGTTTAATGCCAGTCTTTCCAAATATTTTTAAGTTTCATAAATAAGATCGGAAGAGCACAC